TATATGTATTGTAAATGATCATTTATGTAATTATTTTATGTACAATCAAGTGACTACTCATAACAAAAACTCACTTCACACATAATACGTTCACGAGATTACGTTTAACAACAATATTCTTTGAATAAGAGTTTATAAATTTTTGCCAATACATACTTGAAACTAGTTCCATAATATTATCAAATATTTTAATGGAATTTGATTGAAATCCTGTGATATTACAGTAAAATAACTATTATACTAAATTAAATTGTTTTAAGAATATTATCAAGTACAAATTTATTATACGAGTTTATAGAAACTTGAAATTGTTAGAAACAGGGACTAAATTTTCGTACTTTAAAAAGTGAATTTTTCACATGTATTTCTCCCATTAATAAATTGCATTTAAAAATAATCTAACAGGAACGATATAATTATTTTCGAAGCATTCATCTATTTTTAACATAACAATTTAATAAAAATTTTACTAAAATTTCTTAATTAATTGTACACACTTTTTAAATACTATTTATGTTAATAAATGCTTACTTGTTCGGTTTTTACAAGTGACATAAGCGATTTTAATTTCGTGTAACTTTGGTAATTATACTTACGTTTTAATCAACTATGATTTCATTCATTATTAAACAGTTATTATTAAATTATCTAGGATGTGTTACAAGAATACCATTAAACATTACTCAGCAATTTCATTTTATTCTTAAACTTGTAAAGGAATTCTAAAACATTAAACAAAATATTGTATGGATGTTATGTATGAACCTATTATCATATATTATCAAAACTCAATTACAAAATCAACTATAAAAATTCTCATTCATTAGATCTATTTCCATGTTTTCTCTATAAATATATTCGTTTGTCGATTTTGTTTAAATTTTTGTTATAAAGTGATTTCAAAATACAGTTTACTCAATTTTTAAGTTACGATGTCAATCCATTTAACCAAAGTAATACATGAATACGTTTATTTAAGTGATAAAACTTTTGAAAGTACACACATATTAATGAAGCATACGATCAACTTCCCAGCAGTCGCACTGTTTCAAACAATGGATTAATTCTAGTTTCGCAGAAGGAACAAACATTATTCTAAAATTATAAGGAAAGTTGGTACTTCGTATACTTTAAACATTTACTTTCTTTATCTTGTAATATTACGGGCAATGTGTATATTTATAAATAGCTATGCGACACGCTCAATATATATTTATAAATACATATGTGACATGCTGAGTACGATATGATCACTGTCGCGACCGCTGAAAAGTTGTCCTATATACAACATATGTACATGTATGTAAATGAAGGCAACTGTTGCCTGTTCAAACACAGGATTCTTGCAGAGAAAAATTATTGTGCATAAAAATTATGCACAATTTCATGTACAGAAAAGTCTGACCTCACAATGTTGTTTAGAATTTTTCTCTGTATATAGAATCGTATATTAAAGTTTCATACAAAATAATTTATTTTTATTAATTATTGAAGTGTATAGTTTTTTTTAAGATACTCCTGTTTACAGTTAACGAACTGATTAAGAATTTATCTTGGGTCGAAAATATCAATTTTATAATCTTTATCGTACAAAAATTCGCAAAGAAAAGTCTTGCACGCAAACAAAATGATTTTTACAAGTTAAAAATTGTATTACTCACGTTTTGCGCGGCAGACTTATAATCTCCTTGTAAAAAAAAAAAACAAACAAACAAACAAACAAAGAAAAAACAAAAAGGAATTTGCCAAAGAAGAAAAGTTACGCACATGAACATCATTAATAATTTGTATTAGTATATCCATATACACGTACATATTCATATGCGTATGCATACGATCGATTGGAAGAGTATGTACCGTGAGATGTGCAAATTTTTTCAGTTAACATTAGTTCAATTTGGGATAGAAAATTTGTATATCGTCTGTACAACTGCAGAGTCTAACTTCTCTATTTTTTGATCATGCAGCTGTTCTCTTATTTACATTAAATGTCTACTTAACTTTTGTACAAAGGTTTTTCAATTTTTGCTATTAAATATACGTAAAATTTTACACCAATCTCATGATTTCATTAAACTATTTTCATTTCGTTTATTTTACTTACAAATAACACATATCCTCAAAAGTGTTGCAATAATGCACCAAACGAATTCAAATAAATTCTTTAATAAATGATTTAACTATCGTAATCACATTAATAATGGTACAATACAAATATATTAGCATGCTACAGCGGATGTGTTCAATTTCAATGACTACAGCCCTTCTCAATCATTTTGGCTGGTCAGGGCTAACAAAAGGTAAACCTATTATGTATCTACTGCTGCTTTTTCAACTGTACGCAGCATGATTGTACGCGAGTCAACCTATGAAGGAAACAACGTGTTCACGACTGTTGACGCAGCGCACTGGTGGGTAAAAACATGAAAAACTGGCAAAAAATAGAAAAAGTTTTCAGATATGCATGCAACTTAAACTATATGGAACTGTAGAGCTGCAGATTCTGAATTTGATAAGACAATTCTAAAATTGAGAATGGCGAGTACAGTATGGCTGACTTGTATGCTTGCAAATAGCATATTTTGTAGCATGACCATATTTTACCTTACACTATTCTAAATTTTGAAATTCCGATATGAGAATCATAATCTCTGGCCCCAAAAATGCATTTACATGAGTCTGATACGTAAGTATGGATGTGCGTGATCTACATGTTGGTATTTCTAAGGGTTTATTGCTCCCAAATTAATACAATTAGCTCACATCTGTGTGCCATAATATTGATGTCATGATTATTACTGGATTATCGGGTCAAATATAGAAGGCATTCTACAAAAACATGATAAAGAGAGGAATAGCTGAATAACATACACAGGGTGCTAAGGAGATGCAACTCTCACTTTCTCTATCTCTCCGTTCCTCTCTCCTACTCTTACACTCCCATCCATTTCTATCTTTAGGGATCTATAATAATCACTTTTTATAGTGAACATAAATGATACAATTAAAATCTGTCCGGAAGGATGTAATATAAAGGTGTTTGCAGATGATAAATTGACATATGTAAACGAAGACAGCAGTGCAAAGTTGAATATGAAAATGATTGCCAGTAAGATTAAGTATACGATCGTTTGGAGTATAAGAAAGGAGCTAAGAGGGAATGTAATGCTAAAATGCCTAGGTAGAACTGAAGTAGAAAGAGTGGAAACGATAAAATACTTAGGCATAGTAATTTGTGATAGGATAAAAATCAAAGATCTCTGTGAGTATACGTTTAAAAAGATTGAGGAAAAAGACAGAGGCTATATTATAATTACGTGTGTTCATTTTTAATATTGTTAATGGGTTGTTGATACAAAAGTCATTAAACAGAATAGAGGTAGTGGGAGAGACAGATGAGACAATCAGGAGATATTGTATTTAAGTTCCAAAAAACAAGGAGTGTGCAAGAGTATGTTTTATGAAGGAGTAAACATGATAAAAGAATGATACAGGAATATGTTATATAGATGGTAACGTATCGTAAGAAATGTGATGAAATCATAGATATAATATTGTTGTCAAATATTTATATATACTATATTGTTACTTTTATTGTAAATAACTGAGGAAGCTAATAAAGATCAATCAATCTAAAAATACATCCCTTGCAAATGTCTTTCTCCCTCTCTATTCTTATTTACCCACTCATCCTCTGTACATTTCGACTTCTCACCCTCTGGCCTTTTTATGAATTTGTTATAAACTTATATTGTAATATATGCTGTACATTCTGTATATTTCAACATATCAAAACATATGTTGTATATTTTAAACATGATAATAATATATCATATTTATTGATTCTGTTTAAATAACACATTTTAAAAATATACATAGATTATTGTACCTCTTATCTATCATAAACAATATTGTATGTATTGCTTATGAAACTATTGGCAGCATTGTTATTTCATAGAGACTCATGTAAGCTGTCATACGTATGTTACATGTATCAGAAGTTTGTAAACATATTGGGGGAAATAATAATTCAATTGTTGAACTAATAACTAAGAACATATCTCCTAATATTTTTACAACGCTCCATTAATAAAACAATTCTTGAAATTAAATATTCTTACAATGCACAAGACTACAATTAAACACGGCATCTGCTTCGATGATTTGAATAATGAGGAAGCTAATTATTACGATCATCGAGCAGCCCTCGTTTGATTTGTAAGGGATGAAGATGGAAACACAGTTCAATGTGGTTCAAAGCCTTTGAACTATAAGTTGTATAGGTGAATAGCCATGGAACACTTAGGTACTAAACATAATGTAATGTATTGAATAAATAATACTCCAATAACTGAACCAGTATTATATTTGACACTTTATCTATTCAAATTAATAACAAGTTTTATACTTTACATGTCATGACAATTTCAAAGCATCTTCATTTCGTAGCACATCATTTGTAGGTTAGGAATTTTGAAAGATTAGAATTGCAGCGTCATGCGATCACTTTTAGAAATTGTTTATTGTATAATCAACGCGAGCACGCACACCAATTCCCCAAAGTCCCCGTGGAGTGAGAACGTAATAATAAATCACAAGAAAGTTGTTAAATAATTGCAAAACGGTACAAAAGATTGAAAAAATTGGAATCGGCGGAACGTGTCATGGCGTCTCTGCGATCGCAACGCCCTCTGCGCCTCTTTGGCGCGGTTTTCAAATGGCGAGCTCGCGACACACTGATATATTGTATACCTATGTCCCACAGTGTAAGCGTAAATTCTAAAAAGAAATTATAGATCTCTAGTTAGTTAATTACCTCGAAAATGGTAAGAATTATTATATCTCAACTTGCGAGAAAAGAAAGTAGGAAAGTTGCCCTCTAATGGCGTAGATCATGAAACTAGAACCGCTTTTCCTATGGAAAATAAGGTGCGAGTCAATTATCTTAAGTAGGTTTCCTATCATAGAATCGTATAATACAAGATCAATAAGTCGAAAAGATTTCGTCACGGTACGAGTTCAAGTTAATCGTAAAACTTTTGTGTTCTCGTTGTCGTAATATTTTGTGTGGTGTGCTATTGAAATATACAGTGTTTTATGTAGATGACGTTAAAAACAGACATCTCCTAAATTAAGCGCGTGATAAGTTAATAACAGTAAATATAGCGAGAAGTCCGTAACAGGATAGATGATTTCGTTCGTGTTACATCGGGTGCAAGTAGAAATGTCAGATGCATGAATGATCGCAGGACCTTGGACTTTTAATTCTTAAACAGTGTACGACAGAAGGAAATATTTGGATTGCTCTAAGCGAAAAGCTGATTTTCTAGCGTCCATTATTTCTTGAAAAAATGACGTACCACATTCCGCGCTCTTACAAGTAATTGCAAGTTAGACGACGTTCTGACAATCATCGGAAAAGTACAACTAAATAAAATAAAAAATGAGTTCCGTCTGGAAACGATTGCAGCGAGTAAATAAGAGGGCTGCAAAATTTCAATTCACCGTCTCGTACCATGAAGTCACTCTAGAAACAACAACGAAATGGTGAGTGTTCTGTATTTAAATTTCTGTAGTAGGTGTGAGTTGATGTTACATTTCTGATGATTGATATCATTCTTACTATTTTGGAGGTGGTACAAAAATGATATATGCAATATTGTTTACTGTGAACATTATAAAAATTCGAAAGAGATGTAAAATGACATTTGAAATGTAATTCTTGTTGGAGGAAAGCAGTTCATGATGAATGTCTAGAATTCATTTTAAATAAAATACAAATTTATAAATAGACAAAATAATAATAAGAATAAGAATTTCTATTAATAACAATTACATTACAAGCAAATACATTTGCTTAAAATGGTAGTTAATTTTGTTTACCAATAATTAAGTTAGTGTATTTATGTTCATTGTACTATAAAATCTGTTAAAAATAAAACATGAATTTAGTTAATATGGATGCATTGCAAAAGAACAGGCTATAGAAGTTACTTTTGAAATGACACTAATTACGAGTTATGATACAGACTTAATATTAAAACAATCTAATCTTTAGTTTCTTTCTTAAGCATCCACTGTATTAAGCATTCACCTTTATAACTTTTTTTTTATGTTTTATGTATTCATAGTACATAGTTCACAGTTACATAAGTGTTATTGCCAGCTAGTAATCATGGTTTTAACAGTAAAGAAGCTATTTAAAATGTGCTTCTGTGGATAAAGTCCTATGGTGGGCCGTTTGATTATTTTTTATTTTAATCAACTTTACATAACATCAACAAGTTTAATTTTGTGCTCAGATGAGCTCAAATAAAGTCTGGTGTCTATATGAGGATATTAGTCATATCTGATCATGGCATATTTAGATACAATAGAGTAGGGTAAAGAATAATTTGATAAATTATTAGTCATGTGGGTTATATCTAAGACAACACTATGACTTGTTGGATGAAAAAATAATTTACTTTCAGTAATAGATACTTTGATAACGAATTATCACAATGAATTTACATTTTTGCAGTACCATTTTGGTTTTTTGTGAAATTTTGATGTATCGTGCTCTTTAGAAATATTTAAATTCTTGAAAGACATTTTAAAGTATTGAGTTTAATAAATGTAGTTTCCATGAATTACAATTATCCTACATATGCACATTGTAACATTATCAGGAAACCAAACAAATTAAGCATTGTGTGGACAAGACGTAGTAGAAGGGTTACTACTGAACCCTTAGATTGGGAACCAAATTTAAGTGATCCACTGAAAGGTACTATTGGCTGGGCTGTTCCTGACAATCACACGATTTCTGTAACGTTGTTTAAAGATCCACGCACACACGAATTAGAAGATAAAGATTGGACATTTGTAATTGAAGATGTAAGCAAGGGTGATCGTGAGAAACCTTCGATATAGAAATTATTCGATAAATATTCACGTTATATTATTCATTATAAACAGGTTTCTCCGACGGGTAAAAGGCGGCACGTGGCTGCTACAAATATAAATATGAAAAAATATGCGACCTTAGAATCCACTCAACAACAACTTAAATTAGAATTAAAACCTACATCCAAGAAAATTGTTAAAGCTACATTAGAATGTACTTTATCATGTGTCTTCTTGAGAGAAGGCAAAGCAACGTAAGATAATCTTAGAATTAGGAGTCATCTTCATAAGTAATACAGTAAATTTAATATTTAATACTGTAATTATTTATCAGGGACGAAGATATGCAGAGTATGGCTAGTTTAATGTCCGTTAACAATAACAGCGATATTGCTCCCTTAGATGATTTTGATAATGAAGATATACCTGAGGATGTTGAAGAGGTATCTGTGAAAAATCTTGATGAAATTTTAGATATTTCTGCACAACTTGATCTAATGACAAATAGTCTCACTGAAAGTGAATTACCTAGCACTCCAATAAGTGGTAAGATTTACATAGATAAACATAAACATAGATTTACATATGTGATAGTTATCCTATATAATAATAACAATGTGCAATAACAGTGGCAAGTTTATCAAAGGACAATGTTACGCCTGTAAATGATAATGACCACTTTATACGTGATATTAGTCTAACTGGAATTAATGATTCCTTTAAAGAAAAGTCTCCCCTGAAGGACAATGTCGCTGCTGAAAATGAGTAAGAATACTCTATCTGAATAAGCTAAAATTAATAGTAGCATTAGAATTACAAATGTTCTACTTTTATTGTAGTAGAAACATTGTACACAGCACGCTAAGATTACCATTGCAACCATTAGAACTAACAAAGAATGATACCAGTACACCTAGATTAAAAGAAATTACACCAGGCCAGGATTTATTGGAATGGTGTAAGGATGTAACAAAAGGTTATTCTGGTGTCAAAGTTACGAATCTCACAACATCTTGGAGGAATGGAATAGCATTTTGTGCAATCATACATCATTTTAGACCAGATCTTATGTATGTATAATAAATTAGAATAATTTGAAATTAAATTTAACAATCATTTAAATATATATTTATGTGGAAGATCAGTAAGAAAATATCTATATTTTTCTTATAGGATCACAGATATATATTAATGACTTTGGCCATGTACCAAAAATTTCATTTGTTCTATTTATAAATGGTTGGCTTACAATCATTTGTTATTCTTAAGTTACTATACTCCAAAACAAAATTATAGTATCACTTTATAATCACCTGAAAAATAGCAAACTTTTAACTTTTACATCTATGTGAAACATAGCCATGCAGTTATGTAAGGCATTTTAAAATATTCAAGTCTCAATCTTTCCCAATCAGTGTTCCCAGATACTTTCCAATCGATTGTGTCAAATCCATTGAAATTCTTTAACTATAGGTCACACAGAGAGTTAATAAAATTGGTTTCTCAATTGTTATCAACGATGTATGGCTCGACCAATAGAAATCGCAGCTTTGTTTAAAAAAAAAGACAGAATTGAAGGACTTCATAGTTTAATGTTCCATTAATAAAAATTGAGAAATAATTTTTTAAATTCCATGTATGACTCCAAGTTGAACAATTTATTACGATACGAAACGATCGGCTTGGAAGTGGTACTACAGCTTAGAAAAGCACAGTCGGCGAAATCACTTAATAGGATTTGAAAACTGAGGCTTCAAGTTTCAAAATGCCTTTTTTCGCAACGTTCATTCTCTAGTTTTCGGGGAATTATAAAGTGGTCTATGAACTTAGTTGAAATCGTATAATTAGCATTTAATCGAAAATTTTCAGAGACATAGATTCATTATTATCGCACGATGTAAAAGGTAATTGTAAGAAAGCATTTGATGCAGGAGAAGCCCTTGGCATACCTAGAGTGATAGAACCAGCAGATATGGATATATTAACTGTACCTGACAAATTAGCTGTGATGACATATTTATATCAGCTGAGAGCACATTTCACTGGCCATGAATTAGAGGTATTCAACGATACAAACGAATACTTTACTTTTATTGACATAATGGTTCATGTGTGAAGACATGAATAATACTAACTGTTTATAGTATATCTACTTCCACGTTTTTTGGAAGAAATATAACAAAAATTGTTCCATATCCTCAGGTACACCAGATAGGTAAAACTACGGATGAATCTTCTTATATGATTGGTAGATTTAATACAGACAATAATTCGGATGTGAGTGTACAATTGTTTGGTCAGGAAATAATTAATTTACACAAGAAAGACCAAATGGAGCATAAAAATAATAAAATAGACAACAGACGGTACATTCATTACGATTGTTTTTTTTTTTATCAATAATGCAGTTATATTCAATATCAGAAACAATAATGCATATAGAAATTTATTTATCAACAGATCGAACCCATTCGATAACAAAAAAGAGGATATTAATATTGATTCTGTAAAAAATAGATTACATTTAAGTTTGAACATAGAGAATCAGGATCATGATCAATGCAATAAAGATAAATCACCATCCAGTGTTAAAGATGTAAAGGACATTATATTAGCCAGCTCAAAGAGTATTCTAGAAAAAGTGTTATCGCCAACTAAAGAAAAATATTTATCTAGGGAAAAGGTATGTACCATACATACATTTGTTTTAACATGATCATTGTCATCGTTTTCATTTCATATATCGTTAGAAATCATTATCGTTAGTATTCATAATATGGAATATTGATTCCAATTTACCACAGAGCAAATCTCCACCGAGAGTACCACAAGTACAACGTCCTATATTAATGACTCGTCGACAATTAACAGATCCATTTGGATCTGACGAGGAAGAGGAAAATATTCAAATAATCGACGAGAAATGGTCTCAGTCAATCTCAATTAACAAATTACAAACGCCAGTTCGTGATGTCAGTATACCTGAATTTGCTCGAATTATTTTACTTTATTTAGTTGCTTATTTTCTATTTGACTACATTAGTAACAAATTCAAAGTGAATTGTTGTACTTATGAATTATTATTTTATACTATTCGCATTTAAACTTTTCATTATTGACCGACTTGCTTCAATTTCAACTAAAATAAATTCATTAAGCGGATGTTCATGAAATATATTAATTTAAAAATTATATATTTTTACAATGAATTCTGTCTAAACGATACATTTCTCCTAGCTTAAAGCTTTCTCGGTGTTTCAGGAAATAATGTGAATAATCACGCGTCTCTTAGATAACGAATTATATTGTGCCTTTCAGACAGGATTCACTCTACTTTTAATTGAACGGCTCATAGAACATTTTCAAACTTGTTAAATCACAAAAACATTTACGTTATGCTTACATCACATAAAATATTTTTTTTTTTTTTGTATAATTTATTTCACATTAAATAATCATAAATTATCTTAAAATTTCGAATATAATGCGCATGTTTTATTCGACCCGAAACTTGATTCTGCGAAGGGGAAATTCATGTATAAATTACATAGAACCCTTGTTAACAAAACTTTCACTGCTAATCGAATTAACGAAACAGGTAAACACGAGAAACTTGTACACGTTATACTCGAAATTTTACAGTATTGTGTATGAAATTAGTGCTTGCTTTTATTAACAAGGAACCGTCATTAAATATGCTATTCTCTCCGAATTTGTTACGTTTACTTTTTTGTACATACACGTCATGCATGCACGTATACATACAAATGATTATAAATGTATATAGTATTTAATCTAATGTATATATTTGTTACTCTCCATAAGCTCCATATTTTTTATAGAGAATGCAATATTTGACATGTAGTTTTTTCGACTTGATTTGTTTCTCTGTAATCTCGTTATAGTAATTGTTATTGCAATAAATTTAGTAAACACATCTTGTAGGATTCATTAAATACAACTGAGAAGGGAATTCGTGATAGTACTGAATGTCAAAGTGTGTCATCACCGCACGGCGAGCAACGTTCTCAACATGTAATTAGTCTTCATATACTTTCAAAGTTGTTTGTTGCTTGTAACTAATTTGCTATTTTTTTATATTAGCCATTAGTCAGTCGGCATGATGAATTAAGAGAACGTGCAAGACAACTCTTAGAACAGGCCAGGAATCAGACAAAGTCAGCTGGCCTTGTTTCTGCCGCCGCTAGTCCTATCGAGGTTTTCTTTTCTTCCATTTTATATTTTTTTATTGAATAATTGTATATACGAATTTAGTTTAGTATCTCGATCATTACACCCATTATCTACCATAAATTCGAAAGAATGGCATTTTATGATTTATAGAGTCAAAACGATGACGAAAGGCAACAGCAGTTACGCGAAAGAGCGAGGCGTTTAATAGCGGAAGTAAAAATGGGTGTTAATGTTACTTCGAATCAAATAAACGACGACAATAATAGTGACAGGCGATCGATAGATGATCAGAATAATAGCCCGAGACGTAGCATGACGCCGTCTACACCCGGTGATAGATTTAGTACAAAGGTCAGTCATAAACGCCTGATTTTCTTTGCAAAAATAATATTGCTGCATGTATGAAGGTTTCGAAATTCCTAATGTTAAACCTTATTATAACCATATTGCCTTTGCATAAACCAAAAGTACACTAACTAGTGTTTATTATGTCTTTGATGAATCTCAAATCCAACTTCTTTAGAATCACACAAGATTTTACTCTATATAATTTTTAACGAATAACAAATATTTCAGTCTGAATATAATGGAAATATATTGGGAACTCCAAGTGTAATAGATGGTGAAAAAAAGACTGGTTCCCCTCTCTATTCATTTTCTAAGATAATAGAGAGAATTTCACCAGATAAAACTAGTCCTGATGGTACCTCGTATACTCTCAGAGGGGTATGTATTATTTTGTCACGTACACCCTTACAGCTAGGAATCAAATATCTCATTTGGTATCATCATTCTGTGCCTAGTTGGGGAAGGATATGACAGCATATATTCAAAACGAATTAGAAGCATTAGAACGAGAGCAGACCCAAATAGATATTCAAGCTGGTAAACTTGAGAAACAACTTCGAACTGCTATGGAAAGTGACAACGAAGATGAAACTGAAAGACTGATGTCTCTGTGGTTTACCCTCGTGAATAAAAAAAATGCACTTCTCAGAAGGCAAATGCAATTGAATATATTGTAAGCAATTGTGTGTTTTAACCACTTGCATTCGACATTTTCTTTTTACTTGAAGAAAACACTCTGTGTTACTTAATATGTTAAATTAGCAATGTTTACATATTGCAGGGAAAAGGAAGACGACTTAGAACGTCGGTTTGAACTTTTAAATCGCGAATTAAGAAGCATACTTGCAGTAGAAGATTGGAGGAAAACTGCTGAACAAAAAATGCGAGAGAACTTACTTTTAGAAGAATTAGTTTCTATCGTAAACAAAAGAGACGAGTTAGTCCATCATCTTGATACACAAGAAAGAGCGTAAGTTATCTTATGTACATTATTACTTTTACATTACTTTGCATTTGCATTTGCTGATCTATAGTTCGGATACCTCGGGATTGCTAAACCCGTACTGTAGCTACAATCAAACATAGCTACAGTCCCTGAGGGCTCCTAATTAAAAGAATTAAGTAGTTCATGAAAAAAGAGAACAACTATCATTTTTAATTGTTCTCTTTGCTTACTCTTCTATAATGTCAAAAATGAATACTTTATGAATGTCTATGTTGCTGAAAAATGAATTTATTGTGCGGTTTCTGTTGTATTTCAGTATTGAAGATGATGACGAAATAGAACGTGATTTATCTAGAGCTGGATTAGCTCAACGAAATAAAAATTGCGTGGTACAATGAAAATTTAATTCTCGACCCTCCTTGTTACAGTAGTAAATTACAGGTAATTCATTTAAATTAAATAGTTCACTTTTTTTTAAATATATAAATAAAACTTTCAAACTTAAAAATTTAATAAAAAAAAAAATGTTGACTCTCAGAATACTATCTTTAAATAAACTTCTGCTATAAAAAATGCGATAAAAGTATTAATCAGTTTAAGTCGTAAAAATATAAATTAATACTGTACTAAAAATAGCAATTATAGGTATGGCTCATTTTGCTGTGGAGTCGCCAAAGAAAATACAAAATTTTCCTTGACAATGAAGTCAGGACTTTCATAATCTGGGAGATACTAATATTTAGAAATTTATTTTGTACTATGAATGATATACCAGTTGTGCGATCAGTGTTCCATGTTTATACAAATTCATTATTAAGAATTGTATTGATACACTTTCACTCCTCGTACTGGAGCTAAATCGAAATTGAGATCTGTTTCATCAAAGGGAAATATCATAATTAAAATCTGTTCTAGCGTTGTGAACGTTGTGAAAAGTTACTTTAGGAAAAATCAATTTCAATTTATAGCAATACGAAGTGACTAAAAATAACGGAGCAGAACAGCCATTATTCCATTAAAACATCATAAAACAACTAATTAACAATTCTTTTGCGCATTAATAAATACATGATTATGGAAGCTTTCTAATTTAAATAAGGTGCTGAAATCTCTATATAAATTTAAAAAAAAACTATACAAGGGAAGTGTTGCGATATATAGTATATCACTTTTATAGTTCTCGATTATTATGCATTATATTCATGACATAAAACGCGTATAAATTGGATGTACTTAAAAAATCATAGATCACTTGTAGGAAAAAAATTAACTATGTCAAAGTAGCGTAGAGAGAATATTTCGATCCAATAAGTCGATAAACTTCGGCGATGAGATTTAATGAAGCATAGTATTCATTTTGTCATCTACAATATAAAAAAACTACTGTTCATAAACCATATTTATTTTGATTGTGCCATATATAAATATCCTAATTTTTTAGGACAATTATTATACTCATTTACTCCTTTGTAAAATACTTGCCATTTTAGAAAGGTGATATAATATGCAATTTTGTCCTATGGTGTACTGATTATTTATTATTGAGTTTGATGTTAATGTGCTTAAGGCCTAATCCATTTCGGATATTCTTAGACATGTATAAAAGTTTGCCACATGATTTCTTTTCAAAGTAACAAAGAAATTAATCTGTTTGTATAAATTAATATCGTTTAGTGATATATATGGAAAACAATTATTCCAGAGGCGAATTTCGATACAAAGATAAATCAACAAATAATAACAATTTACTTAGAAGATTGAACAAAAATATGAAGAATTATATACATGTATTATACTTTTCATATTATTTATGTATATCACCTCAATCGGTAGTTTTATTTTATAATACATTATTTTAATAATTTGTTGATTTATTCACACAAATTTTAGAGAAAAAAAAACAAAACATTTTAATAATGCGACACAAGTTATATTACCGAAATGTGATTTCAAAACATTAAACGAAACATAGGTTAAATATTAGTCTTTCTGAAATTTACTCCTACTATATTTTTAGATAAATTACATTGTTTCAAGTGTTTTAGTTATTTTATTCTACTCGTTTGTCTTTGAACATTGTCGTTGACATAGTGTTCTAAATGTTAAGACAAACCGTGAATGAGTAATTGTGGGATGACTTAGGAATAAGTATGCAGTGTAAAATTTGCACGATTTTTTTTGTAAAATAAAATGTTCTTTTTCCTTTGAACGGTGTAAATGCATGTCTAAAACTACATTAATACAAAGTGTGATAAATATTATGAAACGTGAAAAATTTGAAATTCGTTTTTTCCTCAAAATCGAATTTTGAGTGAACGTTAAATGTAACTAGCGCGGGCATATCATATCGAATACAACTGCCATAATTGATTGTTAAACGTATAAACAAAAAATCACTTTCATTGTATGAGCACTCATTGAATAGAGGATAATATATTTTGTGTCCTGCAGGCTTAGTTAAAAATACTTGAGTTAGATCTCATTTTCTGTCAAACGATGTAAGTAAATTTTTATTTACTTTACGATGGTTGCATAGCTCATGTTATTATACGTAAACAGATTTTACGTTCCTTTAATATAGTAAGAATCTTTTGGTGTTTACGATAGTGAATAAGTTGGGTTATTCAAGTTGGGAACGTTATAGAAATGTTAAGCTGCAATGTTAAAATCCTATTCTATCGAATTTAGTTTTTATTCTGTTATTATAACTGTCTTGCATAATATTAATCAATAGAATGCGAAAATTGCGAAAGGAGATATTCGTTTTAACTGGTTAATTTTTAGCAATAATTTATTATTCTAGTGCCTACGAATGTTTCATGTTTAAAAGTGCAAAGTTATCTTTAAAGCGGCTATACTGAAACAGACGGTCTGTCTACATATTTGTAAAAATACAATGTATCTCGTAATAATTATTTAAACGATTAAAAACATGTTATACGAATAAAAATTAAATTGTGATATTCTTGATAACTTAGCTATTACATTCGGCTTTTATTTCGAGATTTGTCAATATCAGAAATAATTTTAGATGTTGAGTTACGAAGACTGAGGTAATATCCTGTAATTGAGTGCAATACAAATTAGGTTTTCAGAATCATAAAATATTTTTGTTGTGTTTCATTTCGAGATACTCTGTATGCGTATTTATATGTAAAAATGCTCTCATATAATATTGTACTAAAATAATTTTAATTTATTTTATTTATTACTATTAAGAATGCTGACTATGATATATTGCAATTGTAAAAGCAATGACCATTCTTGCCAACGCTTAATCTCGATGAGGACGCGACTTCCTTTGCTAGAAACGGTATTAATTGTAAATTACTACGTGTAAAAATAAAATTAATGTATAATGTGTCGAAACGTATTATGCAATAGCAATTAATAATTGAAAGCAAATAAAGCACTGCAAGAAAATATCGAAATACAATTTTTTGTGAGACTAGCAATACCTTTCCATATAATGCAAGGGCGATTTATGAATGAATGAATGATGTATTAGGAAAGTAAGACTATTACTTTTTTTTTTAATACTTTCACATTTGTAGAAACTATATTTCGCTCCTTCCATAGAAATTTGTAAATGTTTAATATTATAAACTTTTTAAAAAATTGCGAAATACAACAGGTACAATAACATTAACCTTGACTTAACAATGTAACAAATTAAAAATTAATTAAATTAAAGTTGGTAACTTTTACATATATTAAATGACTATTTAAAGATTTATTACTACACTGTATTGTTAAATCTACTTTGAAAAATAAATGTAAGAGAATTTTTATTTTTAACACTTAGACACGTTATGATTTTTGGTTTGTAGACTAATGATAATTTCTTAAGGTATACGATTTGTGAAGGGTTGTAAAAATATATGTACAAAATGAAAAACATAAATACATCGTTTAGATATACATAAATGATTTCGTTCCCTAAAGAAATTTTTCATTCGATTAAAATCATGGTTTGTTTCCTAAGTGTGGAATACACGATTTTATTATTTCATATTTTTTCAATATAATTCGATGGAAAGAGTCCCGTTTTCCCTTTCAATCTTCCCTGCCACCAACCACCTTCGTCTAGAATACAAAAAGATTGAATTCGCGATTAGAGTTATTCATAAATAAAAACAAAAGAGGAAGAATGGCAAATCGTTCAAGAAAATGAAAGTAGGATATGTCAGTTATTTAAAGGAACTTACGTTCTTTGAGTATTTCAAGAATGTCGTCTGTTTTGAGCTCTAGTTCATCGAGATCCTGCGGTGTGTAGTCGTACAAAACTTTAGCTTTAGGTAATTTAGGAATGAAAGGTTTTTGTGGAGGTGGAGGTTTTTTATTATGTAAAACAACATTAGATGCGAGTTGTCTGTTAGCCTTCTCTAATACTGATTTAGTATTGTACTCTTGAACTGTTTGTATTTCCTTATTGCAGCCTACGCTATTGTTGTTTGTCTGCTCGTTCCTGTTGATTGATGGAAGTTTAAATCTTGATGATATAGCTGGCGTGTTAGGTGGTGGTGATTCAGTCGGTGGTGGGGGAAACCTCAGTAAACCTGTTTAATTATTAATCTTATTTTGCGTTTGATCAAGTTTTTTTCATCTTAACAGACTAAGTTAATATTCATAATGTTATAGTCAGTGAAAAAAATAATGTTTTAATATATTTATCGATACAAATTCTGATATGAATCACCTCGTGCTTTTCCGTTGGGATTAGTAAACATGCCCATTAGAGGTAAATTATTCTGTATTTTATTTGGTTGTTTCATTCCATGACTCTTTTCTTGTACTTGCATTGGTGGAATACTCGTACGATTAAGTCGCGGTGGCTTTGAAGTTTTAGGTAATTGCAAAGGAGGCCTTTCAGTTGGTAAACTCTGATTTTGTTCGAAGTTTGTACGTGGAGCTGGCCGGATTGGCCTATTCACAGCTGATCGTGGTGCAGGTTGCAAAACTGGTGCAGCCCGTTTCGATATACAATACTGCGGACTCATCGGTACCATTGGTGTTCTATTAGAACTTGGTTCTGAAATGTTGGTATAAATAATTTAATTATTATAAGTATAATTAATATAATTTGATATAATTCATAAATGTAAATACTAAGCTAAATAAGAAAAACCTACTTCATCTACTTCTTTTAGGTAAAATATGGATAAAAACAAAAACATTACGCGCATATAAATTACAATAATCACTTACTTGTGGTGGATGGCAAACCTGGTCCAATAAAGACATTCAAAACTTTTCCACTTGGTTTCAAAATCTCTTTATCGCCATTTTCTTGATCCATTTGCGTTAGTATTACTTGCCTCAATCCCCCACCTCCCCAACCTTCCTTTTTTACTTTAAATTCTAAACTGCAAGATAAATTTTTGTTTAAATTTATTAAACGAACCATTTAAGGATTATGTATTAAATAAATGTATACAAAAATCTTACTTATTACTAAATTTTATGTTCAAAATGTGTCCAGTTTCTTCGACATATCTTTTACTAAGAACAATTAAAAATTCCGTCTTAAATAGCGATTCCAATAAACTGGCGTAATCTTCTTTTGTGTGAACAATAAAAAAATCATCCTGTGATCATTAATAAATCATTTATAATTATTATTTTCGTTAATAATAAAGGTTACAAGCATACGTTTATACACTTACTTGAAGAGTACTTAGTGACACATGACTGATTTGATTGAATGTAAGTTTCCGTTTTATAACTTCTACTAAATTTCCTTTCTCTGTACCTTTCTTTATTCGTTCTCGACCGATTAGATATAAATGTTTATTAGTTAGAATAAGGTCCCTTCTACTCACCTGTAATTCGTGTTTGATTTACTCTACGTGATAAATCTATGAAATTAATTTATAAACGTGTTCAAAAGTACCTTGAATCTTCTGTCATATTTTTTTACTACGTCGCTAAAACAAACTTTTTCTCTTCTTCCAATTAAATTCATCGTTTGTGGTTTCCCTTCTAATCCAATGTAATCTCCCATAAACTTTCTATTCAAACTTGCTCGTTTACGTTCTTTATGGCCAAACAGTAAATCAGCTGCTTCTTGTTTTTGCTGATCTTGCCTCTTTCGAGCGAAATATTTTTTAAATGCTTTTTGAATCACCCTGGCGTACATGTTATATTTGCGGTCTCTTGCTTCCTCCAACATGAAAAGCTGTGAAGCAACGATTGCAGTAGCATAAACAAACGGTTCTATTAATTACCACTGAAAGATCCGAAATATTTTCAGAAATAAAATTAGGACATACACTTTCAGGATCTTTTAAGAATAACTTTGTTTTTCCAAGTTGATACTGCGACTGATCAACGTGAAGGCTAGCTAATAACCACTTCACACCCTCTTTCTCGTCTCCAGACCAACATGGCCACGTTTCTTTTGTGAGAATTGCGAATCTGTGCAGAAATTTCGAGAATGCTGTCCTGTATGCAAACCCAGCTCTACGTACTTTGATATTCTCCTTTAAGCCCAAATATTCCACCTAAATGACATAGAAGGTATAAAATGAATGTTACAGAGAATACGCAAAATATTTGTGTGAAATTTCCAAGTAACTATTAAATTTTGGCTATCTTATATGGCAATCATACCTGATGTTTTACTCTAACCGAATCCCAGTCGCGAGGTTTCTTTGTTTCATTTGGTTTAATGCACCTAATGTAATGCGGAGTGCATTTCATTAATTGTTTGACTAGTTCACTGGCTTGATTTCGTATTTTGTTACCAGCAGTGGTAGGTCTAGATTTAAGTGTCTTTGTTTTCTGAGCTTGAGCTTCTTGTGGGTACAGCATACGAACCAAAGGACTGTAACAATAACATTATCACTCATACACTTATCCAATATGTTTTTACTATGACAATAATACTAAAAATAATATATAAATATAAATAAATTACACTAGTTAAAAGTTTTAGTTTTTATAAGAGTCTAACGTTTTTCAAATAAACTGAAATCAATGAAGAAATGGTATTAACTTACTTTGTACTTGTCTGCATTAACTCCACGAGATCTAGGAAAAGTACATCCCTATTTTTATCACAGAATCCATCAACTGAATAAGAAACCATTCCAGCATAATGAGAAATGGCAAATCCATCGGTTGTGCTTTGAAAGTGTTTATGTTTACCAGCTGCAACTGTAAGTTTCTGTAATCACCACTAAAATTAATTGAATTGCAAGATGAAAAACGCAACAGTTGGCTAATGTTTACATTCTGAGAACATATTTCTTGGTATTTATTACAGATTTACCAATAGAGTTTCATGTTCTTCATAAGAATGTGCATAGATATGTTCATTATCAGCTTGAGTTAATTTATGTACCAGTTGTAAACATAAAAAAATATTTCTACATTATGTCTTAGGAATAATTTAATCCTTTACATTAGGAGGATCAAGTGATGATGACTTTGCAAAAATAAAATATTTTTAATTTTTTCAACACAAAAATAAGAGGGAGCATTATTTGATGCAAAAATCTTTTCATTTGAAAGGGAACTGTGACCGATTCTGGCAGATGCATTGAAGTGTGAAAAATAAAATTATGGAACCTCGCTTGCTTCATTTCTAAGAATTACCTCGTGTAAACGGGTATGTCTATGAATATTTTATCTGCATAAAAATAGTATTTATTACTTTTTGCAAATCTGCATCCGCTCCAGTACTGCCACCGTGAAGAGTGGCACACACATCATCGAGTAACAGGAAAAGGCCTGGTGGACGTTTCCCTTCGAGAAGTTCGACGACGACAGCATTATTGAAGTACTCTATCGGGGTCCATTTTATATTTTCCGATACGTATTCCTCCTGAAAAACAAAATTTATCGTTAAAAAATGATAGTGGAGGAATACATTAATTTAAAATTTAATCCCTATTCATGAAAGTAAAGTAAAATTATTTAATAATTCTAAAGCTACGTTATTTCACATGGAATTATGAAACCTAATTTTTTATAACAATCCAGTTTTATTTAATATTGAAATGATTCATTTTCGGAAGTCATTTTATGAATGCTCTTCTTTAAGAAGTGATACATTGATATAATGTACATCTCTCGGTATAAATACTATCTTGGCTAATTAAATACTCTATTTATTATTTTATTTTTATTATTCTAAGATGGTAAATAATATATTGTTTCTGTGGATAATGAAGAAGGAAAAGATACTATAGCGATAGTGTACTAATACTTCTTTGCAGACCATCTTCAAACACCTAAATGAGCAAATATTTGTTTAACCCATTGTAGCATTACGAAAAGAAAAGAAAATTCTATTTTTTGTCTCATTTCTATTTTATTTATTTGTTTTTTTATACCGTTTCATTACACATTACAAAAATAATGGGTAAAGGATGACTGTTCCATTATTCATTACAAAAGTAATGGGTAAAGGATGACCATTCCATTATAGATTACAAAATTAATGTGCAATGAATGGCCATCCCATTACAAATTGCAAAAGTAGTGGGCAATGTGTGAGTGGCCTATGACAAATTAGAAAAGCAATGGATAATGGGAGAGTGGCCCATTACAAATTATAAAAGTAATGGGTTATGTGCGAGTGGCCTCTTACAAATTAGAAAAGTAATGGATAATGGGAGAATGACCCATTAGAAATTGCAAAAGAAATGGGTGATATAAGAGTGATCCATTATAAATTACATAAAGGTGGCCCCTATTACTCATTACTTTGGTAATGTATAATGGACCAGTTCAATGGTCACCCATTACACATTTCTTTTTTTGTAATGAATAACACATTGGATCTACATTAAAGTCTTTACATCACCGCTGCAAAGCATGAAACTGGCAAGCGCATTCCTGCGAACGTTTGACGGTGGAAAAGCCATTGTTGGCCGATCGACCGCGTTATCTTAGGCGTTGCTTCTCACGATTTTCTTTGTTGACTTCGGTAATATCTTTGTTTCGAATATCTCACGATCCACATCGATAAAACACGCGGTTCCGCTCCGAATCAGACTAGACGATCCGCTTGCGACAAAAGGCTTTGGTCGGAGGCGAGCAATTTCGTCGTCCCCGCAGCTCTCTCGTGCTTTTTATGCGCGGTCTAGTTGCGGTGAGCATCGAGAGGTGATGGCAAAAGTGGTACGATTCTTTTCGTCTTAGCCCGTGCCTAAGCTAACGATTCTATTTCATATATCAACGACGACGACCTCCTTAGCGTGTTCTCGGCTCGTTAAAGGTACGAGGAACGGGAACCCTCCGTCATCATTCTCCAGTTTCTTCGACGGCAACCGCTGGACGCGAAATTTTGCGCGATTGAATTCTCTCCAGCGCCACGTCGGTCACTGGTGATGGACAGTAGTGTACTTTCCGTTCAGGCCGAGTCGGTCACCGGTGACCGGCAATATGCGAAATGTTTTGTTTATTTGTACAATAGTTATTGGACACAAACGGGCCCATTATATACAGACAATAATTTGTTTGCGAAGTGAAATGATGAAAGAGACTTAAAGAAATTAATTCTTTCGATACTTTTAATGCCAAAGACACTCATGAAAATACTTATTAAGCTAAAATTTGGTTCTTATACAATTGAAACTTGTGTAATCTAACATTTGCGTTAGCATTTTACAGCCCGATCAAAATCCACGAATCCTGTACATATTTATTTTCTGTAACACCTGGTTTTCAGAATTTACTTTTTTAATTCCTCAGTGAAATTCCTTTGCTGTCAACGCGTTACATGGAACCTTATATGGATGTTCATGCAATTACGTGTTTTCACAGATGCAGAAAGAGGAGAATTGCAAAAAAAAAAGAAAAAGAAAAAAAGAACGAAATAATCTCAATTCATCTTTTTTTTGAAAAGAGAAAGATTCGCAGTACTTAGATGACCTGATAGTTCGACAATGGTTCCAAGAGTACTCGTGCGAAGACGAAACGAGCACAAAAGTCGTGGATGTCGATGTAGACCGTGAGAAAGAGATTTAATGCAATGATATAAAAATATATCGCATGCGTTTTAAGGGGGCCGGACATAATGGTGAAGTTGTTTCGTCAAGTAACAATGCGAATGTATTTTTATAGAATTAAGTAGAAGTCGCACGGGGTATGTTTTTTGTTGACTCTTTGTATGGTGCATGTTTCGCCACGTGGAGGGGTTAAAGTTATGGGTGGAATATAGTGCGATAGAAATCAAAGCTTACAATTGCACATTACTCTAATTTTCTAGACATATTCATTAATATTGTTTCAACTGATTTATATTCATTGTTGTACAAATTGTGTCTTGTACATTACTTGTATAGGTACAGGGTACTTTCATTCGTGTATGTATGGAATTATGCTGTCCAAATCGTGTACAGTCCGATAATTATTATACTATGACATGGTCAAGTTATAGTTGTGAAGATATTCTATGAAAGATATTATTGAAAAATAGGTAAACGATTGTGAACAGTGGGTGAGGCAATGGAATATGTTGCAGGTCGATCAGTTAGGGTTCTACAATTCCGAATATTACCAACAGGGTGCACTACATCATCGACCGTAGAGTACCTTATCGACCTGGTACCTTATCCGCCTCAAATATGAACTTGACACTATGTCCACTAAGTTTGAGTTTGAATTTTTGAAGAGAAACTTGACATAAATAACATTGTTTTTACAGTAATATCTGTGGAGTGTAAACAGGATAATTTTCTCCTACATTAAATTTATGAAATTCTTTAATTGTTTTTCAACTAACATTTCATTAGCATTGTTCATTTATGAATCCATTTATCATACCCTTCATTTTCTGGCAAATTAATTATTTTTCTCAATTCCGCTGTTCTCCTTTGAAAGTTACTATTATTACTGTTACTACTATTACTTTTTTCAAAAAACATGCCTTTACTTCTTTGTTAAATATACGAAAATATTATATATCTCCACATGTTTATCTCCAATGTTTATTTATTACATAAGTCTGTGTTTTAATCTTACAATGAATTAAAAGTAGTGTTTTAATTTTTATAATGAAAAGAATGTTATACTATAACAGTAATAACATGTACAATCAGACATGTACATACATGCATCGTGTAATCAGCTCCTGATTGCGTAGTTCTCCCGTTAAAAATAATTACAGGTGAAAAAAGATAAGACATAATAAATGTTACCAGCGGAATTAAAATACAATGTGATTAGAAAGTGTCCTGTCGCTTTCTTCAGGAAATTACTATGACATTCGTGACACCTAGACGTGACAACGGTACCTAACCGTTTAATAAGTGTCGAGAAAACTTTTGCAGATTGTAATGAAATACTTGAGAAAAAGAAAAATAAACTAACGAATAAAGAACACAACTTGTTTGCCTGGATAGTCAATTTGAAATTATTATATTAATTGTCGAATGAATACTAATTAGTATATACAATAATTGATTGTTTATAATTTTTGGGTACTTTATAGTTTATCAACATATACATATGTATATTGATATCTACATTTATAATTATTCTTTGTAAGGCTAAGGATGAAAACAAAAAAATTGGGGTCAAAGTCCATAATATAATTAACCCTTAAATTTCTTACCTTTTAACAAGAGAATTTCAAACTAACAAATTATTTAAATTACTCAGTCTTAAATAGCAGGATTTCTTGTGACATCTTTTAAATCGTAAAAATAAAGAGATAAGTTCCGTAATTATACTGCAACTGTACGTTCCTACTTAGAGATTTTAACAGATAACAAAACCGTTATACACGTGATTTCAAGGAAGACGAAACGCTCTCATCTTAAATGTGTCGTAGAAAATATTTTATTGTAATCATGACCCCCATTTTTACTCGAGTACAGTTACGAGGATTTATAAATCACGGAAATCAAAGGTCCATTAAAAGACTGATTGAAATTGATTTCCTTGAAAATGTAATTTCCTATTGTGTAAATGTAATTTCCATAGTGCATCGCGGAGTGGAAAACACGTTTGAAGAGTGTACGTAAAAAGAGTCGCTTTTAATGGGACAGTGTGCTCTAAAAAGGTGGTTTAATTGACTTCGAGCAATAGACACGTGGGAAAGTGGCCTAACTAGTCCAGCAGACTGTTTGATTAATTTTTAAAAATAACTATGCCGTAAGTCATCTTGGAAGTATGAAAAACAAAATTATCTTGTTAACACCCTTAACATGACACGGAATTTTGTTTGTAACTCCGCAACAAATTAAGCAAGATGATTGTAAATTTAACGAAACCTTTAATATACATATATAAATAAATGTATTCAATTTCAAAAGGTTATGACAAGTACCTTGGCTGCAAAAATAATGGTAAAAATTGCCTCGAAGTTAGTAAAAATTTTGAAATTAATTGAGTAGGACAGTTGAAAATTTAACTGAATATTGTACATATATGTGCAAATAAAACTATCGAATTTCAAATGTTTATGTATAGTACTTTAGTTCCAAAAAAAATCATAAAAATTGCTTCGAAATTGGTCAAAAAAAGAATACCCCCTTAATATGATATGGAATATTATTCATAACTTTGAAACAAATTGACCAAGGCACTTGCAAATTTAACATGATCTTCTCCCTACACACTTAAATAAACCAACCAAGTTTCAAAACTTTGTCTCGATCGTCTTGCTTGCAAAAAAATATCATGAAGATTGACCCCGAAAACTGTTTAAAAAGGAAAGGGGAAATGATTTTAAACCGCGTGGCGGGGCGATTCAAAATTTCACGGTGCGAAACGGAAAGAAGTAAGCGATACCAATTGCGACGGTTACGCGGACAACCGTGGCTAAACCAGAGAGAGGGACATACACAAAGAAAGACGGGCGATGGTGAAAGA